GCATGGTCACAGTGTCCTGCAATCACGTGAACATCACTTGCAACCTCTTGCCGGGTTCCCCATTGACTTTGCTTGTTGGAAGCTGGCAGTGAACATCACAAATAGTGATCATGTGACTGCAGGATGCTGTGACGTCCTAACTGTGAGCTGGTTGCTGAGTGCCTGAATTGTGATTATGTGTCTGTGGGGATGCTGCAATGGCCCCAACTATGAGGACCCGTGATAAGTCCCCCTCATTCGGTACTGTTGTAACTTTGGTCTCTGAATGAGTATATGTTAAGCAAGGACTACCTGTACTTACAAGAAGATATCTGAGCTCTATGGTGGGCACCAATTTTGACAAAGCAAAGCAAAGACCACAGAAACAACCTTTTGACACCTAGGAACACAAACAGAATAAGCAAATTACACAAATCTCTCTTGCCCTAAGCTGCAGTTTCCATCTTCCCTCAGTGGCATAATGATGACAGCTAGGGCTCCACTTCCCTTCCATAGGAAAGCAGACACAACATACTAGTTAAGAAGTTTTGCGTACCCATTCTCACCCATTCACTACTTTCTCCTCATAACAGACCTATAACCTCTTCAGCTTTCCTAACATCCCCAAATAATTCTTACAACCCTCTCACAACCCTCAGATCAACCTGTGCCCTGTGTAACACTTTCCCCCATGAGATCTGGCAGGCCCATAGCTTTCCTCCTAGCTTTCCAGAAAGTCTTGAGGACCTGGCTTTTCCCCCAAGCTTTGGGTTATAGTGAGTCTGGAGGCTGGTCAATCTGAATGGAGGAATATGTGTTTTGGGGGGCACCAGGAGTTTTTGATGCTGGTTTATGTTTTTATTGCTGTTTCTGTGAGTCACCCAGGGTTATGATACATAAGGACTGGGCCTATAAATCTTTTAAATAAATAAATAATCTAAACTTTCTTTTTTCTGACAGTATTCCTTTAGTTTCCTACCTTCTATTCTTCTTTAGTTATATGCCACTCTTTACATTTTCTAAACATGCCCTTTTTTCTCTTCAACATTTTAGATAGCTTTGCATGTATTAACACTGGCCTCTTTAAATTTCTCCAGTTTTTCTCATACAAATTCTAAGACCAATAACTTTCACTTCTTCAATCTATTCCTCCATGTTGGTGAGGATTAGGTCCAGGATGGCAGACTTGTTCTTTCTTTCATCTGATAAATCAAGTTCTCAGTGAGAGAAGACAATAATTTGACTCTTGGCTAACTGAACTCCCACATTATCGCTATTCAGTGCTTCTTTGAAAGACTGGTCACCTGATGCAGAAAGACCTCATCCATATCTCTGCCTGCTCAAGTATCTATAATAAGTTCTCACAATGTTATTACTTTTATTTCTCTCTCCTTCTATTCTTATGCAAATTGTTCCAACAGGATTTCCATGCTCTGATTCCTGACTTACTGGGCAAGTACATATTTTCTTAACATACAATGCAACAGCCCCACTCTTTCTTTTACTCTTGTTCCTTTTGAATAAATTGTAGCCTTCCAGTGCTGTGTACCAATCATGTATTATTCCCCCCAGGTTTCAGTGATGTCTAATACATCACAGGTATCATTATCTTCCTAGTTAGGATCTCTGGTTCTTTCTGTTTATTTTCCATATACTACTGGTGTTGAGACACCTGATGTTTTCAGTGGGAGCACCTACTGTTGTAGTTTGTGAAATTATGAGTGCCTCCCTCCTCCTGCTGGACACTTTAATGTTCTGTTTTTTTGGCCCCAATCTTTGGCTGCAAATTTGGTTCTGGGCTTCTTTGGATCACATACTTCCACATGTTTACCTCTGCCAAAGGAAGTTTTTCCTGTTATCTGGTGTTTTCTTTGTTTCTCTGCCCTTCCTAGAGAGCTTCAGCTGCCTGCTGTAGGAAATTCTCACACCTTGCAGAACACAGCAATGCTTCAGTCCCTGTCCATGTTGCTTACAGTCTCACCTGCTGATTCTCCTAGCTAAACTTTCATGCAAAACATGTTTGCTCACTCTGTTTACAAGGTCCCAAAAGCTGCCTCTATGTGTCAGCAGCAGCATGAACTGCTGATCATGGGAAACTGATTGGGATGCCTTCACCTTAATGGAATTAGGTGGTAGATATCTGAATAAGAAATTGCATCCCATCCTTTTTACTCTATGAAGACTCTCAGTGCAATAAGAAATTGATGATATAGTAGCTGGCTTGGAAGAGAAGCCTCTTGCTGTTTTCAACAATGCCAGAAGCATAGAGATGAGGACTTGCAAAATGGTAGCACCTTGTATTAATTGGTGTATCTTTTACTGACTGACATGGCTGCTGTACCTTCATACTTCTGAAGGAGAGCTGGTGCTTGGCCTCCAACCTGAGCATTAGACAACAATATTAAAATAGACACCAAATAAACTAAAAAGGCTTCTGAAGCATAACCACCAAGGTCACAAAGATTGGCTGAAGCCCCACTAGAAAATCCCTTGGTTCAATGGCAATGGTCAAAATCTAAGGTAAAGAAAGCTCTGCAGAAGCAAGGACAGAAGAGTCCTGAGGGTGAGAAAGTGGTGCTTTCAAAAACTGGCACATGATTGGACTGGTGCATATTCAGGCAGCAGAAGTATATGGAACTCTGCTAGCAAGATTCCCTTTGGGTAGCCCAGATCAGAAATAGACTCCACAGGATGACTAGACCTATACTTCAAAATATAGCAGAATCTTGCAAGCCTGATTGTTTTACCACCCTTGTCTCTTATATCCCAATGAATCAGGGAGGAGCCTGCCTGAGTCTCTTTGGAATACTATCTTGTTTCCCAGGACTTGAGGAATGTTTGCTTCATTTGCTTATATAACAGCTTTTGCCTATTTCCCTCAAGGCTGTCACCCTGATTCTCTAGACCATGTCAGTTGCTGGTTAAACCCTTATTATCCAAGTTTTAATTCTGGATGAAAGCACCATGTGGTATGTCTTACAGAACCTGGCTGAAAGAAGAACAGCAAGTTAACCTCTCCCAGCTCTGTCTACTGAGATCTCTTTGTTGCAGCAGATTAGGGTTGGAGGAGGGCTATGGTCTATGGGAATTTCATTTCACTGACCAAAAGCAAAATTTGGCAGCTAGCTTGCTAATTGGTGCAAAGTACAAACATTATATGATGCTTGTACTGAAAGATTTATACTGGCTAGCTTTTCCTTTTACTGGTCCCAATTCAATGTGTTCAAGTCCTTAATAGCTTGAGGCCTGACTATCTGCAGAACTGCCTCTTGCGCTAGGAACTTGCTTGGCTACTTAGATCAGCAGAAGAGACCCCTCTAAAGATCTTTCTTGCTGGTACATGGGAAGGGCCTTCTCCTGCATAGCTCTCAGGCTACAGAATGTACACCCTAGAGATGCATTTGGCTTCTATTTTCCCAATATTGAGAAAGATGGTTAAAAGACATTGGATCCTTGAATCAAAAGTACTGTATTTCAAAGTGTGGAAAATAACCCTGCAGCAAAAAAGTCTTAAATAATCTTTTACTTAAAGATTGTTTTATTCACATTTGTCTGCATTTTGAGTTATAATATTAAAGTAATGCCTATTTTATGAAAACTATCTGTACAAATGTCCTATTGGATATAAATATTGAAAATGAATATTTAAATGTTGTATCTTTCCTTACAATTATAAATATATTTGTTTTTTATTGCTCCCATATATTTTCTATTTTTATTTTTGGTTTGTTTTATTCTTTATTATGCTGGTTTTTTTCAATGTTTTGCTTTAGAGAATATGAAAAAAGGAAGGGAGGAAATGTAACTGCTCTACCTACCTCAAGATATTGGAGTGAATTGCTACTAGTTTTCTGCTGAAACACAAAAATTTATACTTCTATGAACTTAATCAGCTCCAGAAGAGCAAACATTTAAATCACACTCATGTACTGCTACCTTTTGGAAAAGACAGCCATTTGGATATTGCCAAAAATACAAGCATAATTTGTAAGCAAAAAGAATAACCTGAAATGTCCCTCAGATCAAACCACTAAGCCAGTTCCAGATCAGCAGGAAGAAGCACACATGCATCAAATCTTGTGTCAATTCCTGTTAACTTTCCCAAAGTGCTACATTTTTGATCAAGGAAACTTCTGTCTGACTGCAGCTGCTCATCAGACATCATTTCATTGCCACACCAGTCAAAATCAATGCTGTGGATACCTGCTTAAACTGTATCAGTATCTTGACAGGAAACAAAATCTTGATTTGAACCCCAATTTATTTAATTGTCATAACATTGATCAACTTTAATCTGAACTGCAGTACAGAAGAAAGATTTAAGGGCACATACTCCATAGACCTTAAATTTAATATTGAATATACTTGGGAAAAATGTCAGCTGTTGTACAATCCATACAAAAAGATTTTCTTTTTTCTCCCTTTCCTGGGAGTAATTAAAAGATGCTTTTCTTGACTAATGATCCCCTATTTAGAAATGGGAAGTCGATATTCCTCCTGCAGCAGTCAGGTTCAATTTGTCACATAGCTCTAGAAGTCTGAAAGAGGGTTCTCTGGGTTGTTTGGTAATTGCTGAAGCCAATCACAAGCTTTTAAAGCTGACCTAATCAGAGGTCCATAGACAGAGATGTGGTCTTGCTTGTTGTGAAGTTTTGAAACTTCCCCCTCACCCCTTGCCTTCCACCCCCATTTTAGCTAGTTTACAAATTTTCTATGCTTTGCCTTTGATATAAAAAATCCTAAATGTATGTTATAGATGGTTTACAATTTTGTCATGTAGGACATATATGCTTAATATTCAGAATAGCTTCCAGTTTTTTCAATTGATGATGATGATTATATTTTTATCTAGGTTTAAATGCAAACTCAAGGTTGAGATAGCTACAGATCTTGCTGTTCTCTATTGTTCAGATGTCTCCCAAAGATGGATATTTCCAAGATCATGTACTGCTTTTTGAAATTGGTTAGAGGTTAAAAAATGCTTTTAAAACGCCTTTTTAATGCATACTGAAGGAGCCTACCTTGTGGAATCTGGAGCAGGTTTTGCACGGCCCTGGGTGTTTTCCTCCCATACGCTGTTTGCTAATTCATTTCCAATGGAGGACATTACTTTGATGAGTTCAACAGGCCAATCATCCAAGTCAAGTGAACGGACACGTGATAAATGTGTACCAAGGTTTCGGTGTATCCCTGAGCATTCAATACAAATGAGTGCTCCCAGATTTAAACTTGCCCAGTCAGGATCTATGGATAAAGAAAACAAAATGAATGTTTTCCTACTAATAATCTGTTCATGTCTTTATTTATTTGTTGACATAATGACTGAGCATTAAAGGCAACTCCAGACTTCAGACCTAATCCTAAACTGTGTCATGCAATTTTCAACCTGTGATTGCTAAAGGAATGCATTTATGTGAGCTAACTCCTATCCTCTCTCTCTAGAAGTAGCGTATCTACTTTTTTGCTTACAATATACGGAATAGTATGGTAAGGAATAAATGAAACAATTTAAGGCCCCCCAAAATATAATGTTTATTACCCTATTCCTCGCATACACTTTGACTGACAGAATGAAAATGAGAATGTTTTGACATGAAAGAAAATATACTTTTTTGGTTGTTGTTCTGAAGTAAAAATGATAGCAAAATAGGATGGCTAGGAAACTAAAAACAAAAAATGGCAAGCAAAGAGGAGAGCAATATTAGTCGAAGTTATAAAGGAGAAAAAAATCCAACCCAATTGAATTGCACATATTGCAAACTATATTTCTAACAACCATCATTAACAGCTTTTGTATATTCATTGTTTCATATTCATTTGTACACTATGCTTAACCAGATCAGTTTAAAGTGGCTGCATTCAGTCAGTATGCTAAGTTTGGTTAATTTTAGCTTTGGTTAGGTGTACTTTGGGGGGAGTGACATAGCATGCTGCTCAAACCTATCTGCTGATTTAGTTAGCTTATGATTTAATGTTTTCTACAAACCTATGAAATAAGTTCAGTATTCAGTAAGCATTTTAAATAGGTTGTGTGAATGCAGAATATAATGAAAAACTCATTAAAACATGCTTTGAATGTTTTTCTATACAAAAAAATTGAACAATTATTGTGCAAAAACTATTCTAGACTGATCATCTGAGCATGTCAAGATTAGTGCTGCTATCTGATAATTACAATCCCACTTTAGTTAATAGAACATGATCTTAAAATACTTATCATAAGTATGTGTATTTTTAATCTAAGTGGAACAAATACAAAGTTCAAGGTCATAGAGCTGGATACCCTCCTGCCTTGGGAGAGCTTTAAATGTGCACATTAAGACAAAGACAACCTTTGAAAGGAGAGGGTGGATTTTTTGAGATAATTCTGTAAATTTCACCCAAATAAACAATGGACTAGCCAGGTCCAATCTGATATGTTGCTACTTATGAGATAACACATGAACTAGATGCAAAAACTGACTGCACAACATTTTAAATATATAACCTTAAATTTAATGGACAGTAATCAATGTGGGTTGCAATATTTCTAAAATAACTAAGATATAATGCTCTTTTTAAATTACTTCTCTACTTTTACAATCCCATCCCAATTATTGCGGGGGAAAGATCAAATGTGAAAAGTTTAAACTGTGCTGAACCAGCCACATGTATACTTACGGATCAACACTTGATATGGTTTCATTGTTTATTTGTTAGCAACTCTTTAACAGCCTCCTAGTAAAGCAGAAAAACTAAACAGCCCAGAAAGTAGATTTGGTTTGAACAGCAAATGTCAATATTTAAAAAAATACATAAAAGTAAATTAAAAGCAAAAAAAGAAACCTTTTTGTTCATGATGAGTTTGACACAGAAACTTCTACAGATGGAAGTTGTTTTTTTTTTAATTCCCAGAAGCCTTTGGATTTTGCAAGATGCTATTGCAAAATAGGCAATGTCTGAAAATGTTCATCTTCTCCCCTTGCAGTTATCTATCTTCCCTGAAAAAAATTGCTTCCTGGGCAGAAAGAAATATTTGGAACCAATCCATTATGCTATTTCAACCTTCAAGAATATTCTTGAATATTCAAGAAACCAAGGCACTCCACTCAGTATTTTATTGCTACCATGGCAGTGTTGCAGATAGCTTATATCTGACTGGCGTAATCTTTGGTGTTAATATGATTAGGATTCTGTTGTTAGCTCACTAAGAAAAAAATATTTTTAACAGGAAACAATACCTTTTTCTAAAACAAAATTTGCTTTTCCAAGGAAAAAAAGAGAAAAGTATTGCTTAAAAGTTACCAAAATTTCTAAGATCTCTTTTTTTCCCCTGTTACTAGAAGATAATAGCAGTGACACAGAAAAAGACTAAGTAGTGTTCCAAGTCAGTATCATTAGTTAATTAAGATTTTTAATAATTTCAAATCAAATAACACAATGAACACTAACAAATTAAAGGACCATGGAACACAATAACAAGAGGGTGACAATGGAACAGGTTTCCATGTAACTATGATGCAAAAAGACTCTGTAAGTTTTAAGAAACTCAGGATAACATTCCCTATATAAGAATGGTTGTACTTACTTTGCATTTCACAGTCTACACAGTGAGAATTGCCTCTGATGTTTCTTATTGACTGAAGAGCCATGGCCTCATTCTGACTTGTCAGTCGGGACTGTACGTATTTAAAGAAGCACACAAATAATAAATAAGACCTAAAGAAAAAGCAGGCACAACACCGCTGTCTGCTGGTGAAAAAGAGTTCAGACTGATGCTGAATGAACATGATCACAGCATTTGATGCCTTTAGTTAGCTTCTCAGAGAGTTGATCCTTTAGCATCTTTAAGTACCACAATTCAGTGTCTGAGAAGAACAGCTCACAAATTTTCATCCATGTTTCTGACAGCTCAAGCTTGTCTTGAAGCACTGGAGTATACAGAGTATAGGACATTTTGAATCCAGCTGGGGTTGTCAGAGGTAAAGCAAGTTCAACACTGAAGCATGATATTATTAATACATATACTGAACAGAGAATAACCCATTGTTATACAGAACCTCTGAAAAACTAAAATAATTTCTCAGAGTGGTGCCAATTTTATTTTGAAGTTAGAAAAATCTGGAAAAATCATGCAGTTGTAAGCAGAAATCAGAGGTGATCCAATGGCTTGCTTTAAAAGCTTGTCTACTCTGGCCTGCTAATCACTTCTACTTTGACCGGGAGATATAATCTCTATGAAGAATGACTTTTAGCCTCCTAAGGATATTTGACTTACTATAGAAACTCCTGGCTATGGATTTTGATGAGAATCATATAACACTTATAATATTATATGGTTGATGGTTGATTTTTTCCCCCCATCTGATCCATCTTCCTTTTTTACAAATGTTAAATTGTTGTTAAATATTCATGCTATTTTTTTGACCATATCATCAATTAGCTACTATATTTACTGTTCGTGCCAATAGAATTTAATTTTTATTATTTAAAATCATAAGCCTTCTAACATGTTTTACATTAATGTATTGAGCCTTACTTATAAAAAAAGTTTCCCTAGCTAATGTATATTGCATATAACATAAACTCTGAAGATGTATGCCCAATATATGCCCAGCTGAATTTATGGTAATCAGGATTACATTCCACTGGAAAAAAACTGAACAAATTGAGCCAAACATGTATAAGTAATTCATTCTATTGCTTTCAAAAGAATGTGATATGGCTAACTTTTCATATATCTAGACCATAAAAATGAAAGAAAGAATTCTGTTAATAAAGTTCTCAGCCAATTTTGATAAGTAATATTTTGTTAGTTAGCTATTGAAGCCCAAGGGCATTACCAAATAATAGATAATAATTTAATAAGAAGCTTTAGTTCAGAATGGATGATAATGATGATGGTAATTCTTAAGCATCCATGTGCTGAAATGTGGACTGTGTGCAATATTACTCTGAAGAACGCCAGCATTATTAAGGCAGTGTACAATTTCTCACCACATGGAAACACAACAATTTCCAGGAACTGAAAATTTACAAAGTTGTTTTATTTTTTCCAAAATAGTTCTAAATGGCTTTATGCATATCTCCAAGAATTTTGAATAAATAAAAACAATCAAAATAATTAATTAAGTCAATGGTTCATCCCAAATGTATTGTGGAACATATAAGGAAAATGGAAAAAGAAAGAAAAATAACTTTTAAAAAAATCAGATGATACGTTGCATAGCAAGATAAAATATACATTAATTTGAGATTTAATGGTATTTTTAGTGACTTATCTTTTTCAGTCCTACAGTATTTCTTAGATGCTAAGAAAGTGATTCCTTTATATTATCAGTGTTATGCATCTAACCTTATTCTTGCTGCTTTCACATGACTGTAGGCTGGCCAGAATCTGACTCTCTATGGCTTGGACCCAAGCATCTCTTTCTTCATATGTTGCAGCTTCAAAGTGCCATGTCTGGCCAGTCAGGGACACAATGATAAATTCAAAATTTTCCTCTTGCTCTGAAAATGAATTGAGAAATAAGGAGAAGAGGAAAGGAGAAGCAATAAGACTGACTGAATTCTCTGATTAAAGGATCAAGTAATCTCTTATTTCATAATTAGCAACTATGCCAAAAAAATACAGCAGATCAAGGGAGTTTTCTGCCACAACCTGCCACAAAAAATAAACAGTAATCTTTGAAAGATATGAATAGGAATGGAAGAGTGGTTGGGGGAAAATCTCTTTAACCCTGATATTTTGCTGTCTTCTTTAATATGCCACCTTGAGGGCAGCTGCTTCCCACCTGCATAATCCTTTACTTCCAGCGAGACAATCTAGATTATATCAACTGCTGGTTGTTCACTTTTAGAAAATAAGTGAAAGGAGTACAAATATTTTATGCCTTCCAATTTTTCTATGCTGCTTTTAATTTAAAAAATTAAGAAAACAGAGATAAAAGTTTAAATGTAATTATAATTCAAAGTAATAAACATTGTAGAATACATTTCTCCTTCATGACAGTGACTGCATATTTTTGAAGTGCAAGTTTAGTATACTGTATTGCAATCATGTTTGTTATATTTATACTAAATAAAAGGGAGTGTTTTTGTTAAAGAATTCTGAATGCCTATTCTGTCAGATATATGTAATTATCAAAGTACAGGTAGTTCTTGCTTAACGACTGTTCGTTTAGCAACCATTCGAAGTTACAATGGTGCTAAACTACTTACTACCAGTGCTCGAAGTTATGATCATCGCAGTGCCCCCACGGTCACATGATCACAATCCGGGTGCTTGGCAACCACCTCGTACTTACATCGATTGCAGCATCCTGGGGTCATGTGATTGCCATTTGCGACCTTCCCAGCCAGCTCCCAGTGAGCAAAATCAATGGGGAACTGTGTGATTCACTTAATGATCATGTGATTCACTTAATGACCACCGTAAAAAAGGTTGTAAAATCAAGTCCGATCATGTGATGATTCACTTAACGACTGCATTGCTTAGCAACCTATATTTGGTCCCAATTGTGGTTGTTAAGCAAGGACTACCTGTATTCTAATAACCTATTTTATAAGATGCAATAAGAACTGTATATTCTCAAATAAAAATAAACTGTAAACTCATTCCCCAATATTGAATTACATTTTCATGGATGAAAGGAACTTTTGTGTGTTTCAGTGGGTGAGACTGCTGCTGGAGTGTGACAGCTGATCAACTTTGCCCATTGGATGATGATCCCTCTTGAACAAGTACCTTGCCTACAAAGTGTAAACTAAAAGGGAACCCAAGCAGAGAAGAGCAAACAGTAACAGTAGTGGAGCAAGCAAAACCATTTAGATACACACACACACACACAACTCAAAAATACTGTTTCTGAACTTACCCAAAATTAGCTAGCTACTTAATACATGGAAATAACCATTTAATAATAAAATGATATTGAGTATAAACAAAATGATCTTTCCCTGCCAAATGTAAAATGGCACCAGCTACATCTCGCACAGATGTCATACTTAAACCATGGCTCCCTTTGCATTGCCCACAAGCTACCAAGGATAAAATATAATGGTTCCCTTTCACATAACAATTCACTGCTCATTTTCTGTCCTCCAAGCAGAATCTTTACACCAAACAGACTAGCTTTTCCCTTTCTATAACTGTATTCTTTTCCGTGCCTTTTTTTTCTCTTTCTCTTTCTTTTCTTTATATGTTTCTATATTTATCTTTTAGTTACGTAAAAACTTTTAATAAAACATAATAATAAAAGAGATTGGTTTATGTTTGCTCTTACTGCGGAATTTAAAAATTTTATAGTGATGTTATTGTTTAGACTTATTGTGCTTGCTTATTATTTATAAAATGACAAATGTATGTTACGCTATGGATTTTTAAAAATTTTGCTGTAAGCTGCTACATATCTGTATGGAGTTGGGGGGAAATAAATTTAATAAACAAACAAAACAGTATTAGCAATTAGAATTTTAGAGTAATTTTATAAAATAAATTGAATTATGATTTTAGTCCCAAGCAAACAGTCCCAAGCAATGGCATTGAGAAGTAATTAAAAGCTGAATCACCTCCAGTTCAATTAATTATTATGGATGTTTGGGGATATTTTTGCCCAGATCTACATTGGAAAATGACCATCATTAGTTTGTACATTGTACTAATAATCTTGTTTATTCTGGCTAGCTTTCTTCAACCTACAATACAAATAAATTATCACTTTAACTAAAAACTATCTCATAGACTTGTGAATTAAGTATTTCATTTACCAACATTTTTAAAAATAAAATATAGGCAACTTCAATAACATCAGTACTGTAACTTATATTACAGGGTAGAGAGTCAGTTTAGTTATGTCTTCTGCTTATTCAGAGTTTGGAAAAGAGGCCCATTTCTTGCTTTTTTCAGTATCCAATTCATTTCTCAATTTTGAATGAAGTATTCCAAAGGAAGGAAACATGTCCTACCTATCAGCAGAAGAAGCTACTAGTGTTAGTAATCTAATTTCAGTGATCTTTGAATCCAACATTTTAATTCCACCAATTTATTGGTATGGCTTTCTTTAAAATGTTATCAGCAAACATGCATTTTGTAATTGATTATCCTTCCCTTGAAATGTATTATAATTGATATTATGGAAGAATGACTGCTGGATGACCATGTCACAGCTAATGGTGCATATCTTGAGTATTGAAAATATTGGCAAGAAATTTAACTGGAGTCCATGCTTGCCCTGTTTGTTTACTTATCCCTGCAATTTAACTCTACCATTTCTCCTTCCCAAATTAACTTCTTTCAAAGTTCACCAGTAAGAGAAATAAAAGCCTAATTTCCCTCTTTAAATATTTCAGGATAGCTAACATATATTCAGTTTTATTCTTTAGCTCCATACTAAGAATGTTGGCCTGGAGAGTTCCAGCTTCACGATTTTGTTATCAGAATAGGCCAGCTCTTGCTATAGTGCTAAACTGTACCATCTCACAGGAGTTAATTTAGTTTCTCTTGCTTTCTTCAAAGCAACTGCTGCAAAATGTTACTACTTGGTCTCAGTTTCTAAAGCACATCTTTTGCTAGGAAGGACAATGAGCATTACAACTGTGCATGCTAACTTCTTTATTTTTGACTAAAATTCTTCCCATCATGGATACATATACAATATTATCTATTTTATTTATGCAAAACATGATTAACATGTTTTTAAGACTAGGAAGGAAGGCCGGCCAACGCGCTAGGAGTGCTTGTCTGAGAGCTTACCTGAGCACCCTGGAAGCTCTTCAGGGCTGGTCTGTGGACTTTGGGGGTACCCTGGTGCTGTATACCTGGCACAGCTCAGCAGGGGCTGGTGTGGCCAGGAGGAGCTTTGCGGTTGTGTTGGGGCGGCGCAGCAAGTGGCAAGCAGGAACTGTGTCGGGTGGTGTGACGGATGGTGTGCAGTGAGGACCCAGGGAGAGGAAGAACTTTGGCACCAAAGAGGAAGAGCTCTGACACCAGACTTTGGTCCCATATGCTTGGAGGTCAGTGGAGCTTGGCGAGGGCTGGTGGGTTGTGCTGGGCGGTGTGGTGAGTGAGTGGCCAGGGAAGAGATCTGGGCTGCAGCAGCCTGGAATCTGGCCGAGCTTGATGCCAGACCAGTCTGCGGGCCCAAAAATCGGCCTGAGACCAGGGCACCCACTAGACAACTGACTCAGAAGCTGGTACCCAAACGGCAGCTGTGGCCTGAGGAGGCCCAAAGGACTTGGGGACCAGCTGATTCGAGCCCATGCAGGGTGTTGGGGACCCTCTAGTGGATGATAGCTGGGCCTCCCTCCCTAGTGTAAGAGACAGGGAGGGAAGTCTGAGGGTGTTTGTTTGAGTGTGTGGGTATGTGTGAATGAGGATACTCGTCCCCAAGTGAGAGTTGGGGTGAGTGGGGAGATGGAGTGGGTGCCCCTACCGGCCAGTGAGAGAAGCCAGTGAAAGGGGCACAGTGGGTGAAGAGGGTGAGGGATAGGACTCCCACAGTGCTGAGAGCAGGAGCTGAAGTGCCAGGGTGCCCACTTCCACCCTGATTGATTGTGTGTTAGTGTATGATAGGATGGAGGGTCCCCTAATTATGGAGGCTGGAGGTCTGGGATCGGGAGGAGCTGGACGCCCTGAGGGGGTTAAGGTGGGTTGTACCATTCAGATGGTGATGGGGAAAGAATGTTATGATGGGAGTCAGAAGGTGGGCCATTCTCAGGGAAGACACCTTGGGTATTTGTTACCAGTGGTGTGTTCCGGCCCTCTAGACTCAGACCCAGGTCCTGGACAGCAGATTCATGGAGGCCCTGGCTTTCGGCTGCTGCTTAACGCCAGGTCAGTTAATGACAAGGCCCCCTGTTATATGTGATTTGATCACTGAGGAGGGGGCTGACCTGGCATGTATCACTGAGACCTGGCTGGGCCCTGAAGGGGGGAGTGCCCCTTTCAGAAATGTGCCCAGCTGGGTTCACAGTCTGGCACCAGGTGAGACCCCAGGGCAGGGGAGGAGGGGTAGCGGTTTCCATCCAGGAATCTCTGTTGGCTTTCAGTAGCACTGCTCCACTAATGACCAGTTGTGAGACTCTGATCCTGAAGTTGGGCTCTTGAGAACAGTTGGGATTACTGCTACTGTATCAGCCTCCCTGCTGCATAGCAACCTCCCTGCCTGAGTTTCTGTAGGCTGTCTCAGGGTTGGCAGTGGAGTTCCCCAGACTTATGGTTCTGGGGGACTTAAATCTGCCATCCCAGGGACATGCCTCAGAGGCAGTTTGGGAGTTCATGGCCACCATGGTGGCCATGGGCCTGTCCCAGATTATTCATGACCCAATTCAGGACAGTGGCCTCCTACCAGACTTGGTTTTCTTGTCAGAGCAGCGGCAATGTTATCTGAAGGGGGAATTACATCTGTCTCCTTGTCATGGTCAGATCATGTCCTGGTGGCCTTGAGATTCTCCTATGCTACCCCCTCTGCAGGGAGGTGGAACCTATTTAACTGGTCCGCCCACGGCAA